CTCAATTAAGCCTAGTTTAGCAAGACTGAAAGCATGTGGAAACAACTAGCCACAGTCAAAATAAAAAGTAAAACGCCTTCAGCAACTCCAACTTTCAATCTTTTTATATTGTATCTTCTCTACTGGACATGCATACATATCACTGATGTTGATAAGACAGCAAAATATGCAATATGAGTATTCTTTATGCACTATGACAAACAAAATAATTATACGATGACAAATGAGCTCATGGATCCTGGGGAAAGTTGACAGCAAGGGAGATAAGATTAAACTCCTTTGCAGGTTTAAATAGCAGTCATAAATTACTAAAAGACTCCAGATAAAGAAAATAACTATAAAAACATCCTCTTTTACTGACAAGGAAACAGTGATTCTGTGGACCTATGGACCAAGCCCAGATTTATTTTAAATTGATCCTATTTCCCTTACAACAATAAACACAGTGGCTATTGGATTCAGTGCTGCTGACGTGTGTGTAAAACACTTAGGTGCGTCAATTACAGCCCTTTAACAGCTACTGACTATGAATCATTAGTTGTGATTCCAGTTCATAGGACTGTTTCTCTTCCTCCTTCCTTCATTCATTCTATTCATCGTCTACTGAAAAACAAGTGTATACTAATATAAACACTAGTCTACTGGAAATAGGTGTTTTTAGGAATGAACTGTTCCCATCAAATAATCGTATGTTGGTGGGTTGCACCTTGTAGAATTAACACATTCAGGGTGCAACAAACAGGTGATGTGAGCATTGAATCACATAGTTCGTAAAAGGAGTTAAGGGAAGTAAATACCTTTTAAAAAGGAAAGGAGACAAAAGCATTATCAGAACCCATATCTGAACAAGTTTAGTAGGTTTTGTAAATGCCTTTGAGTATTTTCTTACCTTTTCTTACCTGGCTCTGGTTACAATGTAAAGGGCAGCCTGTTTTTGTGAACGCGTCCTAAAACAGAAACATGACTACATGGTGTGAAAATAATATGAAAACAACCTAATTACAGCCAGTCATACTCTAACCAATAAGGGTTAAAGAGGGGATATTATGAGGAGTATTTGGAGGTATGAATTGTTGGCTATGCGACACAGCAACCATTCAGCTGAAAGGGCCCACAGAGGATTTGGTTAAAGAATGGGGTTTGTGTGGGCACTTATAACACAATGTGTGATTCCTTGAGTGAATAGCCCTTAAAAACCAACCTGAAGAGTATTTTTAAGAAGCTTTTATTTTTCTCTTTTCTTATTTTACATTTTCGTAACCATGCATACGGTGTGCTTATTGTATCCTGAATAAATTGTATTTTTAGACTTCTCTTACTGACAGTATGCCAGACCATATCTTATAAAACAAACAATATTACATTTCATGTAAACATAGGCTTATCTGACCTTAATTCAGTGAGGTAACCTTTGTGTTTACTGTGGTTATGACTGCTGCACATTTGCTGCACATCTTGGGTGATACACAAGGCTGGATTACCAACCAGGGAAAGCTGACAAATGTCTCGAGGTCTGAAAGCTCCAGGCTTTAAAGTGATTAAACTGGTTTGTACTAGTGAAAAATTTGGGTATGCACCACTAAAACACAAAATCAACTGACATTAATATAGGGCCTTAAGCTGGGTCCTGGTTTATTACCTGATCCTGAAGCCCTGTCTTGAGGAGGGAACGTGTGTCAAATTTAGTTTTAAGACCTTCATTTTTTCCCTTTTTCACTGTTATACTGCACAGTCCTAAATTTATGTTTTAGGAAATCACCCGCCAGCAAATATGGACTTCTGTCAACCTAGTAGAACTGTACACATTGAATCAGATTATTTACATAATCATTTAATTATTAAAAAAATATTTAAAACAATAACAATTTTAGCTGAGTAAAAGCAGAGAAGCATTACACACATATACTAATAGTATCAAAACAGTACACATTATGAAGAATGACCACTGAATGTTACATTACTGGATTGTTATTATTGATGCCATAGCACATAACCAGCATTGTTTTAACCATCATATGTTGTAAAGAACTAGTAACATCTGTCAGGCGAATGTAGGCCTATTTGGGTTTTTAAAAGTACAATCTTTCCCTATTAATTTAGTGGAGTGTAAGTATTAAGTACAGTCCATTAACCATGTACCAAGTAGCATAAAATAGAAATATAATTAACTCAAATTTGTGCTAAGCAGTCCTTGAGTAAAAATGCACTTATTTTGAAAAGGCAAAACCCAGCACCACATTTTCTTCAAGCTTAATCGAGCTTAATCGATTACTCCTGTTTAAAGTCATGATAAGGTTTACAAACTAAATATTTTTCAAGGGATAAGTGCATCAATTTGATAGAAAACTGTCCGTTTTTTCTCCACTTCCTCGACACAACCCGATGACACAACCACTAACTTACATGTTAAATATTTCTATCGGTGCCACACTGCTGACACCTGGCGGTAATAGTGCGTCATTACACTTTAAAATGAAAATATATTCACTTGAACATCTAGCTGGATTAATATCATATAAATCAGTTTACTCTCGACTGCATAGCCTTTTATTTTAACATACTCAACATGTAATAGTATCTCTGTGACATGGCGGTTTATACTCAGAAATACTTATTAACGGTGCAACGTTCCCTTTAAGAGACCGACCAGATGCTCAGCGCCCAATCGCGGCGCGTAAACTGAACTTTGTTGTTGTCAGCAACTATCACTAGCCGGTGAGCTAACCGTACGAGAACCGTTTGTCTCCACCGTAACACAGAGCCAGGGGGACGGTAACGGTTGTAACGGTCGCAACGGTCAGAACAGTCGCTACCAACGGCTCCGATATCAGGAAAGACGACTGCTGCAATGGTGAGTGTACGTTAACGTTAACTGTGTGACGCTTGTTACCGGGGAGTACGTTTGAAGTACGTTTCCTGTTTGTAGTTTACGTTCGCTGGTAAAGTAAAAGTAAAAAAGTGGGAATAGAGGATTGGTTTTATATGCACAGGATTTACCCAATGCTTTATCATTAAGTGAATTGGTACTGGTCGTATTTCAGGCTTTCTTAGTTACAGTAGGTAATCTGGATTTTAAATGAATGAAAGTGTCTGGGACAAAATGGTAATCCTGTCTCCAGTATGAAAGTGTATTTCAGGAAATATCTTTTCTACAGTAACTACTTTACAAGCAGGGGAGTAACTGATTATATGTTACAGTTAACTTAAGTCATCAGGATAATAACTGTAATGCATTAGTTACAGAAAAAAAGATGATCAGATTACAGTTACATTTAGTAAAAATGATGATTTAGCAGCATTAAAATACCATTAAAATACATTAGTTTTACTTCAAATGCACTGAGCAAAGGACACAGTTTTGAGGCTTTTTATTTTCTTCTTTTCAAAGGTTACATTGTTCAATTACTTACTTATATTACCTGCATCAATACTTCTGTACATGACTTGTGTTTACACATTTGATGTTATGGTAATTCAAAAGTAATGGAAAGTAATCAAGTTACGTTACTTTAATATTGTGATACCTGGATTAGGTTACTGACGACATATTTTAACAGGTAACGAGTATTTGTATTGGATTACATTTTTACTGTGACAGGAATGAAAAACTCTTTATTTCTGTGGTATTTTTGCACTTTGCTGTATCACACAATGTTAAAGTTAATCACTATTCTGTGTGCCAAGCTTTTAATACAATTTACACATGTATACTTGTGTATTAAACATAGCATGTAGTCATAATATTCTGTATGTTGAATAATGTAAAAGTAAAAGTAAGGTTGTCTCACCACAGTACATTGTGCTACTGTGACTTTATACTGTATCGTGTGTATGCTGCTTATGTGTCATATTTAAGTTGTAGTTACAGATTTTATATATTATTAGCCCTTTAAAATTGCAGTATTTTTGCTTTTGTGGCAGGCAAACTCGTGTCAATCATGTTTGGGATGTTGGATGGAGTGAAACTTTTAAAATGGTGCTGAATAGATTAGTTAAGTGTCAGTCGACATATTCAGAAAGCAGTTATTTTTTGCCCTAGACATCGACAGCCCAATGGAGCATTTCCAATTCCTGTATGCACATGAATCTGAATACTTCTGCTGCGCTGTCTGTACAAATGTTGGGGAAATACTTTGAAAACAATCTGGACTAATGGTTAAAAAGTGACAGAAGTCTGTGTGTATCAATCTCTGAGAGAGAAGTAAATTAAGAGGATTGCACTAATAACTATGTAATCACATAGCTTCAAATCCCGTGGGCCATGTAGATGAGCTTTGTAGAACTTGTGAGCTACATACAGCAGCTTGAATCAGTTTGTTACCAGGTTTTGGATCAATTAAACAAAGTTTTTAGTTTTCCTAACACCTTGATTCATGGTTGGCTTGTATCTCCATAGCTGGCCACAACTTATCTCATTTATTTATCATAATGCTAATGTGTTGAGGTTAAAAAAAACATTAACCTAATTTAGTTTTGGAAAAATATACCTGTTGCTGCACAATATGGTAAAGATATTGCGATTATTTTGATAAATATTGAAATTGTGATATGATTTGGGATTAGTGTGGAAATGATTAAATTATAAATTTGCACTGAAAAAAGTATTAAAATCATGATGATGTGAAATTTTTTGGGGGGTCCGTACCAAATAAACATGTTTTCTTAAATCTGGAGAAAGACAGTTCATTATACTGTTTTTTCACATATTTGACCTTTTTTTGTTTTAAACTGCAGCTTCTGCAGGTTGCATTTTGGACTTTGCCACATTGCCAATTCGATAATATTTAAATTAATTGTGCAGCCCTAATAAAAAATCAAGTAAAATATGACTTATACATAGGGCTGCACAATATGATTCACAAACATGTTTTCTGACAGATGTTCACAACATTAGTAGGCCAGGGGATCCCTGCAGCTCTACAGTACTTCATAATAATGCTGGAGCCTGATCACATTTGCTATGGAAAATGACACCAACAAGAAACCAACTTCTTCAAAGTTTCTTTATTCACGTACACCTAATATTAATGTATATAAAAAAACCACAAATGCAAAAAAAAAGTACAAAACTGTACTAAAACCAAGTCTGACCTCCGCCTGCACCATATATAAATAAATTCATAAAGTCCTTTTCAACGTCACTCCGTTAACTCTCGACGCCATATTTGTCGAAGTGTCTCATAATGATGCCTATCTCCAGCTCCACCGTCCCCATGGCTTCGGTGTGCAGTCTGTATCTGTCCGCCCCGCTGTACACAAGCTCCGGGCTGCGGAGCTGAGGACCTCCGCCGACAAACATTTGCGCCAGCTGCTCCTGCCAGGACCCGATCGGCCTCCAGGTCACACAGCTGATCCGGTGGTGTCCGGGGCTGGAGGGGATATGGCAGTATCCGTAACCGTACAACTGGCAGCGGCCGAAGGAGTCCTGGTGCCACACCTGGAGGTGAAGCTTCGGCCAGCCTTGCACTCCCTTTGTGGCGTAGTGGAGATCAATCGGGTGGCTCCAGTACGCCATGTCTCCGATTTGGGGGATGTCCACCTGGGTCTGACCCTCCTTCAGCCCGGCCAGGAGACGCCATGCTCCTCCCGTATGAACTCCCCATTTGCAAAACAGACTGTTTTGCGGGAAACCAGTGCCACCGACGATCTGGCCTATAATGTGCAGTTCTGCCATGTCACAAATGTCTCCTTACACACACACACAAAAAAAAACATGCGGCACCGAAAGTCCTCTCTACTCTTCCTCCGAGTTCAACGGCTAACGGTAGTTCCAACGGCTAACGTTACTTCAACGGCTAACGGTCAGTAGCACCACAGCTCACGTCTCCTTGGTAACGCAGTCTTCTTCTTCTGCTGGTTCTTCCGTCTTATTCTTCGGGTGTTAATGGCGGTTGGCGGTGCATTAGCGCCACCTGCTGGACTGGAGTGTGGAGCAGCAAAACAAACAAACAAACAAACAAAAACTACTAAACTCTCTCTGTTATTTCTGTTATTTTTTAAATAATTAATGAATCGATTATGTACTTTCCATGAGGTAATGCAGTCTTCTTCTTCTGTTTGTTTTACGGCGGTTGGTATAATTTAAAAAAATATATATAATAATAATAATAATAATAATTAATAACAAAATAATAATTTAATTTACAATTTAAATGCCTTTAAAAAAACACACACAAACACACAAATTAGGTTTTTAAACACAATACCTGAAAAATAGGAAATTTGATTGGTCGAGATGTTGTTGTGTGAGAATTGCTGCCTGACAGACTAATAAGTGCAGGGGAATATGCCTTGGACTATATCTGGCATTGTTTATAAAAAAAACATCTGTGGACAGGAGACAAAAAACATGCCACATGTTAATCCCCTATAATCAACCAGTGAAGAAGACTGAATTTGTAATAAGTGTTAAGTTGTAGGTTTGTCTGGATTTAACCTAAAGGTAGGTTGAAAGTACACTGTGACACAGCGCCACCACACGATGTAGTGCTTTCCAACTCCAACCAGTATATTTTTTTGTAGTAGAAAATGAACTAATGTGGTCAAAACCAATCCATATTATTTAGTGTATGTTTAGTAAGTCCAGTAAGCCGTGACAGTGAACCAGCATGCACAGCACCAGGATCCTAAAACTGAAGCAGCTAAATACAATTGAGCCATTGTTAATTTTATTATTAACACATCAGCTTTTCCTACTGTGGCATATCAATATGTCTTCAGTGAACAAAACCTGTGTTTAAGTAAACACATACTTTGCTCCAGTGTTCTAACCCTTTTGTCTTCATAAAGTATACAGCTGGATTCTCAATGGCATGTTTATGAAGATTGCCAGTATTTTACAGGCCTGACTTGCCTACAAGCTGTACTGAAAACAGAGTGCAGTACTGTATAAACACTTGACTCAGTGCAGAGTATGTCATCAGCCTTTTAGCTACGTATGACAATTATGGGGTTGACTGCTGGTGTTGCCAGGCCACCGTCAATAATATCGCACACTCACACAGTCCTGATGATGCAGATTAGCTATTTCGTTAGTGTTTAACTCCCAGTGATGATGTTTTTTAAACTTTGAACTTTGATTGTTGCTTATTTAGTCATTACTATTTACCATTATTGAGAAGTACTTAAAATTCCAAGCAAGTTTTTACAGGCTTTAATATGGCTGCTGCAATCTGTCTCTTTCTCCATTTAGTCTGATCCGACTCTAGAGAGACATTTCAAGGGTCACAGGGATGCTGTGACCAGTGTGGACTTCAGCTGCAACATGAAACAGATCGGTAACTGCTACTTTAGTTTTACTCTGTGTCTCGTGTTCGTCTGCCTGTGGCCAGATTATTTGCTGCACCTGTTTGCTGTTGTCTTTTTATTTTAATTTTCTGTGCGGTATGTTCTTTGCACTCATACATACTGTGTTCAGTTTACTCACCTGTGCTCTATCCTCTCCCAGCCACAGGCTCTATGGACTCCTGTGTGATGATTTGGAACATGAAACCTCAGATGCGAGCTTATCGTTTTGATGGACACAAAGATGCTGTCACTTCTGTTCAGTTTTCTCCCTCTGGCCACCTGGTGGCCTCCGCCTCCAGAGACAAGACTGTACGTCTTTGGGTGCCCAGCATGTGAGTTTTGTAGTGGTACATCTCTAGTGTCACTCACTATTATTTTATTCCACAAGAAAGCTGCCACAAAGGACTGTGATGCTGACTCACAAAAAAAATCTCCTGCTTCTGTCAGCACAGAAGAAGGCACACATTTGTGAACACCCACTGGTTTAGTTTTGGTAGTTTGTTTTAAAAGTTTGTTTGTGTGTGTGTGTGTGTGTACAGGAAGGCTGAGTCAACAGCGTTCAGGGCTCACACTGCCACCGTGCGCAGCGTTAACTTCTCCGGTGACGGACAGAGTCTGGTCACAGCCTCTGACGACAAGAGCATCAAAGTGTGGACCGTCCACAGGCAAAAGTTCCTCTTCTCTCTCAACCAGCACATCAACTGGGTCCGCTGTGCCAAGTATGATGCACACACACATAATTACAAAAAACATCTAGACATTACTGACTTGTTTTACAACTGTACAAATTATATTATGGCCAGTTTTTTGATCTAAAATTTCCAATACATTTTTTGCAGGTTTTCTCCAGATGATCGTTTGATTGTGTCGTCCAGTGATGATAAGACCATAAAGCTGTGGGACAAGAATAGCAGAGACTGTATTCATTCTTTCTATGAACATGCTGGGTGAGCACTTAAGGCAAGGAAGAAAAACTAAAAGCATGAGAAAAATGTGGATGTTTGTATGTGGGGGAGAAATAATTACAGTGAGAAACATTTCTTGTTAATGTTTCTTCTGATATGTTGAGGATTTAGAGAACTATGTACTGTGTGTATACGTATATATAAATATAATATTTATATATATATATATATATATATATACATATAATATTTATAGAAAAAACATTTACACTGATGTTTCAGCAGCAACAGTTAAACATAAATGAATAGGTTTTTGATTTTAAAATGAATTGTGTAAAGAAATAGACCAGAAGCCTGACCGAAGCCTGACCAGAGACCTTATTTCATTAAATAACATGTTTTCTGTCTCCCAAGTTATGCAAACTATGTGGACTTCCATCCCAGTGGGACATGCATCGCTGCCTCCAGTACTGACAACTCTGTCAAAGTATGGGACATCAGATCTCATAAGATGCTACAGCACTATCAAGGTAAAGACACCTCAAAAACTGTATAAAGGAAGTATTTATGTGAACACGCACACAGCATTTGACACTGGTTTTAAGATGCTCTCACTGCACTTACATACAGAAGATAGAAATAGACGTACAACTAAAAACAAGTGCAACAATGATGCAAACACTCAAAGTCTTGTCATCCACTCCCACCAAACGCTGCAATGCAGCTTAAGTAAAGCTTCACCTTTAAACGCAGTGAAAGATATAGCCGAGGCTGACAACAGATTACTGAAATAACACCTATAAAGCTTTAAAGCTCACCATTAACATGGTAATCGAGATTTATGAGTCCTTGCATATTGAATAAACCAAGCCTGCCAGTCAGTCTGATTGTTCTAATCAGCTCTCTTAAATAGATTTGAGTTGTGAGATCTAATAATGGATAATCACATCTGTCTGAAGAGATGGGGCATGAAGATAAAAGCCTTTCCTCTCCTCTTGCCTTCTCCACTGTGCCTTATTTAACACACACACACACACTGTAGTAAATTACCAATTGTGCACACATTGTGTAATATTTTGTTTAAAATATGGTGTATTTACTCATGACAATCACTGGTAACTGTTAGTTTGTTAAGTTGTCTTTTAGTCATCTTAGCTAGCTTTTGGGCGGTTAATTCAACTGGTTTTGTGTTTTGTGTATCCCTGCATGAACCTGAGTCATACCAGAGAATACATTCTTCACTATATCACTTCACTTATCACTATATCTATATGTGTCATAGCATCTTGCAGCCAGCAGAGGGACTATGTCGCTCACCAAACGTCTGCTGTCTTCATCTCAGTAAAGAGCCCAGTCACCACATGGTAGAATAGTTTCAGATCCGGATACGTTTTAAACAGTAGCAGCTAATCAACTTGTTGTAATGCTACGTGCTGATGTAACCCTAATGTTAAGCCATTCTCAAGTTACACAGAAACTGAGGCATTGTGACGTACAGCAGCAGTGCACTTCAGTGGGATTCAGGCATATCCATGTTAGCGAGCATCTGCCCTGCTGAAGTGTCCTTGAGCCAGACACTGAACTCTTAACCGACCTGTTCCTCTGACATCCAGTTTAAAGAGAAAAGAAAATTATTTTGAGAGCATCAATAATGTGTATCATTTCTTCAGATTCATTTTGACCTTTAATTAAGTTTTTGATGTTCTGTCTGTGTGTGGTGTGTGTGGTGTGTGTGGTGTGTGTGTGTGTGTTTTCCAGTCCACAGTGGGGTGGTGAACAGCTTGTCTTTCCACCCAGCTGGTAATTTCCTCATCACTGCATCCAGCGATTCCACAATGAAGATACTGGACCTTGTAGAGGGCAAGCTACTGTATACACTGCACGGACACCAGGTAGACACACACACACACTAAGACAACGACACACACACACACACTGAAGACAGTTCAGATATCCCACAGGCCAAACTGTGCAGTCACGGTAGGTCATGTCTGTAGTCTGTGTGAGTGTGTTTGACATCTCCTTTGTGCATGTTTGATTGTCTGAAGTGTGTATGTGTGCAAGTGTGTGCGTATGATGCCTTTTTTTTGTATGTGGTGTATTTTAGTACTTGCCAGGCGAGCGGGCAGCCCACTCATGATGAGTCATCTCAGGGTTGTTGGAAGGAAACAGAACTGTGTTTCTGCCTCCGTTCCTCAGGATCCTCTCCTCCTCTTCTTCTCTTCCTCCTCCTCTCTGTTTCCGTGCCGTCCTCTCTCTTTGACTTTAACACTCCCCTCCGTGTGTTCTGGGGATGTTTTAGCATCGACACCATCATTATCGACCTCATTTCCCTCCTCGTCCTTCTCTGTTTGCTCCATCCTCTTCCCTTTCTCCTGCCTCTCATGTACTCACATTTTGGCTGGCCGGACTAGTTGGCCGGACAGCTCACTGACTGTATCTGTTTGTTTGAACAGCTGATGGACTGGCTTGCTGGCTAGTTGTGGAAATCAGTGGCTTGCCAGTACCACATGTGGTCCATCTGTTTATCTATCCCTCTGTACACGTTGCCTGTCTCTCATCCTGTCTTTTTTGTCTGTGTCACCTGTGCTTTCCTTCAGCTGCTTGCCAAAACCTTTCCCTTTGTCGAGATGGAAAAAAAAACCACTTTTCCCCCT